TTGCATCCAATTTTATTTTAGTCTTACATATGAAATTATAATAATCAACCCCCTATACTTGTGGTCAAATCTTACTTAAATCACTGCACATGAAATCGTGACAATCAATCCCTTGCACTTTTAGTCAAATTTCACTTTGATTTTTACACAAATGTCAATGTCTCATTCTCTTACTCCACTGTTTAAATTTTTAATAAAATCCAATCATATGACAAGAATGTGACTGCAAAATGGCGATAAGAGAGAAAAATCATCCATATTTCTCACCAATATAAAAAGTTAAGTGATTCCAATTATGCAAAACGCTAATTTATCTTTTTAATCATTCACAATCTGCATTTTATTTTAGCATAATACAGTAATAATTTGATATAAATTTTGGAACAAAGTGTGCATTGGTTAAAAATGTGAATAATTTTCCTCTCTTATTTTCATTTTATAGTCATATTCTTATCACATAACTGAATTATATTAAAAATTTAAATAATATGCTACAAATTAATCTAAACCATTCATTTGTTTGTGTCTCATTAGCCCCAATGGTTTAGATTGATTTGTGACAATGTACATGGGACATGTAATAATTTTTCTACTTTGAGGTTCCCAAATACCTACTAAAATTTGTTAAGTGTATCCCCTTATTATAGGAGATTTATTATTATTATTTATTCTTATTTTATTTTATTTTTTTGTGTGTGTAAATTTGTTGTCAAGCTATAATTTTAAATTTGAACATTTAGATGGTGTGTTTCACTAATGCTCTAGATAGATAATATAAGAAAATAAAAGAAAAAATATTTTTTTTTATTTATATATATATATATATTTGTTTAGATAGAGAGTTCTAAAAAGTAATGGAAATTAAAATTTTCTGTACAATTAGCTTATTAGTTAGGCTAAAAATTTCTAGCAAAATATACAGAGAAATTTATTTTTTCCCATAAATCTTGATAAAGTTTATTTTATTTTCTTTTTTGCCTATTTTCTCTCCACAACTCCCTATTATGCAATTTCATTCTTTCCATAATTTTGTTACAAAATTTTTCATTTATTCAAATGTATGCAAGAAAATAAATTTTCATTTTTTTTTCCTTTCGCTTCACTTTCTATCATTTTCATTTTTTATCATCTGTTTCTTTTTAAACAAACGAAGCCTAAGGTATTTTGTTGAGGTAAAAGTTACAAGACGTCGAAAAAATTTAGGCATTGTTTGAGAAATTAGTTATTTTAGCCTGACCAAAATAGTTGTGTTTAAGAAGTTAGTTGATTTTTTTTATATAGTTGATTTAATGGTTATGAGAAAAGAAATCAAATGATTATGGAATGGATATTGCATTTTATCTTATTAGTTATTTTATTCCATTTTATCTTTTAATAAGCTATTTTAACCTAAATCTCTTCCCAAAAAGTACGGCTTGTATGGTTCCCAATGATTTAGTTGTGTAATTTATTGGTTATTGTGTGTAAATCATCCTAAATATTTGAATGAAATAATGAGTTTTAAAAAAAAAAAGATTTTATTAAAATTGTTATTTAACAATGAGTTAATTTTTTCTTGTAGAAAAAAAAAATATATATATTTTTTTATTTTCAAATTTAAAGTGTCTTGAATTTGCAATTTTAAAAACAATATGATTTTTAAAAATAAATTAAGAAATATTTCAAGGTGTTTTTAGTTTAAGGTTTCTGATATTAAGATTTTATAAAATAAATAACATGTAATATTTTTATTATAGATTGGGTCTTTCAACATTTTTACAAAAAATTTTATTCACAGTGTAATTTTCAATTCTCACAGAAATTTTTTTTATAGAAAATTTTCAATTTCACCGAGAAATTTTAACTTTGTAATGAGTTAAATTTTCTCTAATAAATATTATTGAAAGACCTTAACAAGTAAGAAAAAAATATATTAGACATGTTTTACCACCCAAAGTTAAAGATGGATATTCCACTAACTTTTTCACATTTCAATCATGAAAACAAGTTTTTGTATCTGTCATTTATTTTTTAGTAAAAAATCTCTATTTGTGCATAAAAATACTAGGAATTCACCCTTATGATTCCTAACTTAACTTGAATATGTTTGTATGAAAAAAAAAAGATTTTATTAAAATTGTTATTTTAAAATGAGTTAATTTTTTCTTGCAAAAAAAAATATATATATTTTTTGATTTTCAAATTTAAAGTGTCTTGAATTTGCAATTTTAAAAACATTATGATTTTTTAAAATAAATTAAGAAATATTTCAAGGTGTTTTTAGTTTAAGGTTTCTGATATTAAGATTTTATAAGGTAAATGACATGTAATATTTTTATTATAGATTGGGTCTTTCAACATTTTTACAAAAAATTTTATTCACAGTGTAATTTTCAATTCTCACAGAAATTTTTTTTATAGAAAATTTTCAATTTCACCGAGAAATTTTAACTTTGTAATGAGTTAAATTTTCTCTAATAAATATTATTGAAAGACCTTAACAAGTAAGAAAAAAATATATTAGACATGTTTTACCACCCAAAGTTAAAGATGGATATTCCACTAACTTTTTCACATTTCAATCATGAAAACAAGTTTTTGTATCTGTCATTTATTTTTTAGTAAAAAATCTCTATTTGTGCATAAAAATACTAGGAATTCACCCTTATGATTCCTAACTTAACTTGAATATGTTTGTATGGTAAAAATTAAATTAATAAGTGTGAGATTTATGAATAAAATAAATTTGAATCATTAATTTTTATTTTTTTTAAAAAATAAATTATGAACGGCCAAGGGTGAGTTTTTGTAGGAAAATTTTATTTCCACACACCTAATTAGCTCAAGACACACACTTAATAAAATATTAATTTAATGGCAATTATATCATAAATAAAAATTATCATAATAGAAATCCAGTAACACCCATAATATTATGTAGAAAAATTCTTTATACACATCTTTACACCTTTTGAGTTAAAAAAAATAAATCCTAGTTTTCCATTGTTTACTTTACTCTCTAAGTTTATACTGCATTGATTATATCGTTTTGTCATTAGAATCCACCATAATTCTTATTTTTGTGATAGAAAAGTTACAAATCAATGTAAATTCAAATTCAATTAACAATATGCCTCGTTACAACAAAAGTAGTTATGAAAATGTAAGTTTTTTTGTGCATTTTTTTTTTCACGATTTTAATTCGGTAAACCAGTGCCAAAACATGTTACTTTTTTCAGATATCAACTGCCGAAATTATTAATTCTATTCGAAAATCAAGTTCCGAATTTGGATTCGAAACTTAACTTTCGAATTTAAGAATTTATTTCGAAAACCAAGTTCCAATTTTTTTTACATGTTTCGGAAGTTAAAAATCGAATAAACCCTTTTCATTTGGATAACCAATACTGAATAAGCAAAATTGAATTGCTTCAAAAAAAAAAACGAGAATTTATGAAAAATAAGAGATAGATGGAGTTGTACGTTTTCAATGGAGTTTGATACAAAACGATACTGTTTCAAGATCTATGTTGATATAAGTCGATGCCAATTAATGACTTTTCGATGTTGACAAGATTGTTGATTGAAGGAATCAGTTTGATGATGTAACTGGAAATCAAAGGAGGTAGTTTGTTGTATAATCTGAAGATTCATAAAGCGATTTGCTGAGAGATTTCTTGTGAAAGATGTTGCTGTATTTTCAAGGTGGGTAGAATAAAACATGGGTCTACACCATTGATTCTCTGTAAAACAAATGGTTTAAGTGGTATGTGTATAAGAGCATCCTTATCAGTCTACTTATATTTTACCCTAAAATATTATTAAAAAATTCATTCTCTATTTTAGGAATCACTTTTTCATTTACTTCCTTCAATAAACTATTTATTCTTTTTCTATTCTATTAAAATAATCTTTTCAATTGCTTTTAAATTTGAATTTTTTTAATAATAAAATAATGAAAACATGCCAACCAACCAAGCAATTTCAGGCAATGCGCTCCAACTCAAATTTTGAAATTTTTCAAACAATAACGTCATTAATTTCAGTTCAGGCAATGGGCAGTTTCTCAAATTGTAGCAACACTTCAAACAACAACGGTCATTTTTTCAATAGCCTAACAATCATGTTTTTTAAAATATATAAATAGCACTATTTGATGTCCCCATTTCAATTTGAAGCCAATTTCTTTCGAATTCAATTTCTAAATTTTTTCTATGGCTCGCAATCGTGTAATCAATATGATTACTAATGATGAAAACTCTTATGATCAATTAGAGATATATATAGTGGTTGTAATAGAAGAAAAACGACTTGAAAGACAATCAAGCTCACATTGTGGTTCTCTTGAAGGCCGCAAATATATTCGACACGATTTTGGTCAAGGCCATGAAAGGCTTTTCTTGACTATTTTGTTGAACCGCTTGTATATCCCTCCAATTTATTTCGGAGGAGATTTCGAATGCGCCGTTCTCTTTTTCTCCAAATTCAAGCAGCAGTAGAAGCACATGATCCATGCTTCGTCCAAAAAAAAAAGTGCTGCTGGAATGCTCAGTTTATCTTCTCTTCAAAAAATGACTACTACACTTAGGATGCTTACTTATGAAATAACGGCTGATTGTATGGATGAATATCTAAGGATCGGAGAAAGCACCGCACTGAATAGTCTGAAAAAGTTTGTTAAAGCTATTGTAGTAATTTATTCGGATAAGTACTTAAGGTCATCAAACAACGATGATATTGCTAGATTGCTAATAGTTGGTGAAAGTCGTGGTTTTCCTAGAATGTTGGGGAGTATAGATTGTATGCACTGGAAATGGAAAAGTTGTCCGACTGCGTTAAAAAGGCTTTTCTTGACTATTTTGTTGAACCGCTTGTATATCCCTCCAATTTATTTCGGAGGAGATTTCGAATGCGCCGTTCTCTTTTTCTCCAAATTCAAGCAGCAGTAGAAGCACATGATCCATGCTTCGTCCAAAAAAAAAAGTGCTGCTGGAATGCTCAGTTTATCTTCTCTTCAAAAAATGACTACTACACTTAGGATGCTTACTTATGAAATAACGGCTGATTGTATGGATGAATATCTAAGGATCGGAGAAAGCACCGCATTGAATAGTCTGAAAAAGTTTGTTAAAGCTATTGTAGTAATTTATTCGGATAAGTACTTAAAGCCATCAAACAACGATGATATTGCTAGATTGCTAACAGTTGGTGAAAGTCGTGGTTTTCCTGGAATGTTGGGGAGTATAGATTGTATGCACTGGAAATGGAAAAGTTGTCTGACTGTGTTAAGCGAAATGTATACTAGTCAAATTCATGAACCAACAATTATTTTGGAAGCAGTGGCGTCGTATGATCTTTGGATATGGCATGCATTTTTTGGGTTACCAGGATCTCATAATGACATCAACGTGCTAGATCGATCTCCTATATTTGCCGAGCTTGCTGAAGGCTACGGTCCTCCAGTCAATTACTCAATCAATAGTAATGACTATACAATAGGATACTACCTTGCTGATGAAATATATCCACAATGGTCAACATTTGTAAAAACAATTCCATGTCCATGAGGAAACAAGAAAAAGTATTTTGCTGCAGCCCAAGAGTCCACCAGAAAGGATATAAAGCGTGCATTTGGAGTACTGCAAGCTAGATTCGCGATAGTACGTCAACCTGCACGTTTTTGGAAAACTAAGACTTTGAAATATGTTATGAAGGCATGTGTGGTATTGCATAACATGATTGTTGAGGATGATCGAGATGTCAATGGATCAGAAGACTTCAATTCTGATGCAATCGATGGAAGTTCACAAAAACCGGTCTCACATGAGCATACACCTGAATTTATGGAATTCATTCAAAATCATCATCTCATTAGGGACAAGGAAACTCATTCTCGACTCCAAGCTGACTTTGTTGAGCACTTGTGGCAAGTGCATGGACAATCATGCTAGAACTTTATTTTAATATAAATATTTAAATTGTATCGCTTATTTTAGTTTAAGAAGTCTTGTATTGCTATGTGTTAGACATATTGATTTTGATGATTGCTTTTGATTATGTTTTGATTTTTTTTGACACATGGATTATAATTAAAAAAACTTAATGTTTGATTTTTTTTATTTTCTTGTTTTTTGATCAACAAAACCCAGATTAAGAATTTTATAATTTTTGTGGCAAACAATGTAAAAGCATATAGTTCCAACTCATAATGCAGATGAAATGGACAAGGGATTTTGTCTAAAAACAGAGAAACAAGTCCTAAATGTAATAGTAACAAGCAAAACCCACATGAAGATTATTATAATTTTTGTTCTGACTCCAAATAGAGCTGAAATGAACAAAAACCCAGATGGGGTTTTCTGTTGATCTAGCTAAATGCACTATGAAAACATGGAGACCTAGATGAGGGAATGCTATACTGCCCAAAACCTAGATAAGCATTTGTGTGATAATGTGTGGAATGTTGAGTGGGTGTGATGTTTACCTCTGGATTTCTTGAACCATAGCTTTAGGGTTGGGGTGTTAGTGAGGGAGGGTGAGATTGAAGGTGGCTCTAATGAGAGGAGAGAGAGAAGTTAAGAGGCAGAATAAGATAATGCAGGTGTTAGGAAGCATCCTTGGAGAAAGAATAATGGCGTATGGTATACGTTTTGCTGTTGTTTGCTTCTACCAGCAACCAGCAGTAGAATTGAGTGGAAATAGAGGAGCAATAATGCTTCTTACACTTAGACCATATTTTTTTTGAATGGAAATGGTGTTTAAACAGGTCAAGAATCAAGCACAAAATAGGCCCAAAACAGAGTGCAAAATAGCAGCAGCAAAGCAACAGCAAAACAGCCGAAAACAAAGAAAGAGAGACATCCCCCTGGATGTCCGGCCCTTTATTTGGGCTACTGTGTTCGCCTACTCTGCTGCAGCTATTCTGCTTGTTATTTTTTTGCTGTTTTGGCCATGAAATAGCATCTGTTTAAGCTTAGTTTTGATCTCATAAACAACATATCTATAACTTATCTCAGAAACATGATCTCATAAACACCATGGTCTATTCCAACATCATGGTCCATAAACAAAATTCCTGCATTATAGTAAAAATACATTACATTTTCATACCATGGTCAATTATAAAATTCTTGCACTATAGTCAATATACATTACATTTTCATATCATGGTCAATTACAAAAAATTCTTGTAGAATTGAGTCAAAATACATTAATTTCCATATCATAGCCCATACAACAAAATATTAACTTCTATAACCTGCAGTTATGCAGTTACTTTCTTTTTTCAAGGATTTCCAAACGGCGACGATTGTAATATTGTTGTTGCATAAGAGACAAACCATTAGTATTCATCATCATAATTCTCTCCTCCTGTTTAAGTTGTTCCGCTTTGAACATTTCATTTTTCATAGTAAAAGTCTTTCTTTCTCATGAAGAAGTCTTTCCTCTTGAAAAAGTCTTTGTTCCTTGTGTCAAAGTCTTTGTTCCTCCTGAGCATATGCTTTCTCGAGGATTTCAATTTTCTTTTCACTATTCTTTTATTATCTTCCTTTATCTCAGTTAGTATCCCAGCAAGAGGCGAAGTCATACAATCTTCGCTCTTTCATTTCTTTATCTGTTCCTTTTCAACTTTCCTGCCTCTTGGTCTCTCCAAGTCTACAAAGGCATCAAGTGATCCATCATCATCCCCTAGATTAACTATATTTGGAGTAGAGGGAGGAATGGTGGTCAATGTTGGCTTTTTTGTTGGTTTTTTCTTTTGACAATCTGTAGACACCCCATTTTTGACCGCCCTTAAGACTTGGGCGCTACTGATGGTTTATTTGGTGATGAAAGTTGTGCAGTGAAAAAGTTCAATTTCTTCGGCAATGAGAGAGTCAAATCCAAACTTCATACCCCTTTTTGGACCAAAATGATCTTGATCAAAAAAATTTAGACCTTAAAACCCTCTCTTTCAAAATATTTTTGAAAATATGTTCCTACGATGTTTCGATGCTCGCATTTTGTTAAATGTTGTGCTTTTCGGTAAACCAAGCAAGAACAAAGTGGAAATGAATAAAAGGGAGATGAAATCTTTGAAAAATCTTTCAAAACACCTTGTTTAGGGGTTTGGAGTTGAGGAAAAGAAGAGAAGAGGGAAGAAACCCAGTTGAGGAAAAAGTTGGTATGAATCGTTAAGAGAGAGACGAGTAGTCCCCGCTAAATTGGGCCTCTCCTTTTGTATACTTGGATTTAAGCTATGAGGCCACTACCGTTGGAAAGAAGACTTCCGGAGCTTCATTTTACAGTCAATAATCTTCTAAAGTCAAGTCCGGATGGGAGAGATATGGTTGGTTAAAGTTAGGCGTCAATCCGATTGAGCCGGAAATGAGCAGTCTTCACTAAAAGAGACATAACTTTTTGCAAAGTTGGAATTTTGGTGCAATGCTGCCACCATTGGAAATCTTACTTATAGGGCTTCATTTTAGACACAAGAATGACCTAAAAAGGAGTTCATATAAAGGAGTTATGCCCATTTGAAGTTGGACATGCAGAGCAGAATTTGCAGTCGACCACAAATGTGCACAGTCGGCCATGGAGATGGCCGGTAGGCCATCACAAGTAGCAGGTCGGCACCAAAGATGGCCGGCCGGCCAAGAGTGACCCAAACTTAGAATTTTTGAAGATATTTCTCCTCCAGCTGTTTCCAGCTTGTTCCAGCTGTTCTAATTCAGATATTTTCGACTAAGCTCTTGCTTTTGCTATATATGGAGGCTATATCTCATATTATTTCAAGGGTTAGAACATTGAAGCAATTTTAGGAGCCTCTCTCTCTAAAAAAATCCTCTCTCTCTAGAAAATTTTTAGAGCTAAATCTCTGTCTCTCTCTCTATAGTTCACTCTCTCTTGCCCTTTTGTGCATAAAAATAGAGAAATACTTCGGTGCCGTTTGGTAACACTTACGTTTTCAGTTTTCTGTTTATATTTACAACAATTTAAAAAACTCAAATAAAAACTTGTTTGGTAAAATTTTTGATTTATAAATCAGTGGTCTCAGTTTATAAATTTGGTCAAAAAATAAAAATATAAAAAATATGTTTTTGTTTTGAGTTTTGAGTTTTTTTTTTTTTTCTACCACCCAACACTAGCTACCACCCGCCACCATTTTCCACCACTGTCTTTCGCCACCACCACCCATCCCCTACCACCACCTGCCACCACCACCCACCCCCACCACCACCCGCCCCCCCTCTCCCTGCCACCACCACCCACCAATTTGAAATTACATATTACCAGGCCCTAAAAAAACCTACTGAATTAGACTGAATCAGTTCGAATTACGGATTTTTTTGATTCATCTGCTCACCCTACAATTAATAAGAGGAAATTACAATAATCACCTTTGAAGTTTGATGAAAATGCAGTAAGTCTCATACTTTCGGAATAATTATAGTATACTCTCCTTTAAAATTTTAATTCATATATATAACAGTTCAACCCATTTTCATTATAAATTCATTAATAGTATGAATGAAAAAATAATATTATTGTTACCCAACAGACAACCTAAGAGAGAGGCGAATTAGATTTTGCAATTTTCAGAGATCAAATCAAATGCAAACAGAGGCAATTGGGGGCATGGTAATGGATTTTCGAGCGAAGCCGACCGAGCATGCGTCATTCATTATTCCGAGGCAGAGCTGTGGCAGCCTAATTTAGCTTCTTTTTCTTACTTAATTGGTTTTGTAACTTAATTAATTTGATTAATTAGTTGGTTTGTAATAATTAGTTTAATCAGCATAGCTAGTTGGCTAACTGAGATTCTTTGGGACTTTGTTTGAGCTCCAAAAGGTGATTTGAGCTCAGATTTGTGCCTGTTTTGCAGCTGTGCATCAAAGGTAAGAACTCTCTCCCTTTTAGCTTATTTTGCATGCTTGCTTGGCCATCTTTTCACACTACTTTGGGGCTGTTTTTGGGGTGGTGTTGAACTACAAAAACCTCTGTTTTTCAGTCCTAAAAGTGTTGATTTGAGCCTTGTTTGGCTAGGGGGTGTTTCCTCCCTTTTGCTCATTGGCTTGTAAGGCCTTTTTTGAGCTATGTTTCAAGCTTTTGAAACAACTTCTTTTTGATCTTAAAACCACTGAATTCCAGAGGAATTTCAGTGGTAGAAAACTTGTTTTGAGGCTCAAAATAGGAGGGGGTGGTCCTCTCTCCTCTTGTCTTGTTTGCTTGTGTTGTTGGCCCACCAAATGAGCATGTGTTTCTCTCTTTTTGTGGCTTAGTTTGAGCACATTTTTGTGACTTTTGGGACCTACCATAACTCTGTTTTTGGTCAGCTTGGTCACCTCTTGCATGTTTCTTGCACTTGTAGTGCAATCTTGCTCACTAGCCTTGTTAGCCTTACAAAGTAGCATGCTCTTGTGGTTTGAATTAGCTTAGTTCAAGCATGTTTTTGGTGTTATTTGGTCATGTTATAACTCTGATTTTGATTGGTGGACTCACCTCTTGCATGCTTTATACACTTGTAGTGTAAATCCTCTTTGCTACCCTTGCTTGCCTAATGAGTTAGCTTGTTATTCTAGCATGTGTTGGCTTAGTCTCAGCCCATTTTTGGTGTTGTTTTGGCATGCTCTAACTCTGTTTTGAGTAGTCTTCATCACTCAAGTTTTTCTTTGTATACTTGTAGTGCAATTGTGCTAAATTGCCTAACATGTGCTGTTGTTTTGGCCTCTAAATCTAGCCATTCTTAGCTTATTTCAAGCATGTTTTAAAACTCCATTTGGATTGTTTTATGACTATTTTGGACTGCCTTGGTCATATGACTCATGTTTTGTATAGCTATAGTGCAATAGCCTTGACTAGCTTTGAGTTTTGAGGCATTTTGCATGCTTGGCCTGAGGTATTTGCATGTTTTGGCATCATTTGGCATGTTATTTCAGAGCATATAGTGTTGTCACATTTTCATGTTTTT